AGCCCCTCTCCCTTTTCAGAGAATGATGGGATAGTAATTAATGTCAGAATGTTGTATAGGTACAAATTTTCTGTGTACAGATGCTGTAAGTGCTATGGCTATGTCTGAATAAAAGAGAAAGCAAAAAAAAAAAAACTATCATCTTAATAGATGCAGAAAAAGGACTTGACAAACTATAACACCTATTTTTTAATAAGAACTCCCAACAGTGTGGGCATAGAGGAAACATAGTTGAATATAATAAAGACAATATGTGACAAATCCACAGCTAACATTACACTCAACTGAAAAGCTAAAATATGTTCCTTTAACATCAGGATCAAGACCAGGATGCCCATTCTGCCCAGTTTTATTCAGCATAGTATTAGAAATTAGGATTTCTGATCAGAGCAATTAGGCAAGAAAGAGAAATAAAAGGCATTTAAATTGGAAAGACGTAAAACCGGCGCTTTTTGTGGCTGACGTGATTTTACATAGAAAATTTTAAATATTCCACCAAAAGAAACTTGTAGAACAAATCAGCAAATTCAGTAAAGTTGCAAGGTACGAAATCGGCATATAAAAATCTGTTGCATTTTCATACACTAACAACGGACTCAAAGGTGAATTAAGAAAACAGTCCCATTTATAAAATCACACCAAAAAGAAAATTCTTAAGAATAAACTTAACCAAGGATTTGAAAGACCTTATACTGAACCATAACACATTAAGGAAAGAAATTAAACGATACAAATAAATGGAAAGATTTTCTGTACTCATGGATTTGCAGAATTAATATTATTCAAGTATCTATGTTACCCAAAGCAATTTATAGATTCAGTGGAATTCCTATCTATTTCCTAATTCCATTGGCATTTTTCAGAATTGGAAGAATCCTAAAATTTTATGGGACCACAAAAGATACCAAATAGCCAAAGCAGTCTTGAGAAAGAAAAAGCTGAAAGCATCGTGCTCCCTGTTTTCAAGCTGTATCAGAAAACTGTATTAATCAAAACAGGTATTGACATAAAAACAGACACATAGATCAGTGGAACAGAATAGAGAGCCCAGAAGTAAACCCATGGATCTATGGTCAATTCCTTTATGACAAAAGAGATAAGAGTAAACCATGAAGAAAGGATAGTCTCTTCAATAAATGGTGCTGGAAAAACTGGACAGCCCCATGCAAAAGATTGAAACTGGACCACAAGCTTACACCAAACAGAAAAATCAACTCAAAATGGATTAAAGACTAATATAAGACCAGAAATCCTAAAATTCCTGGAAGAAAACAATAAGTTCTTTGACATGGGGGTGGACAGTAATTTTTTTTTTTTTTTTTTAGAACGGACTCCCAAGACCTTGGCAACAAAAGCAAAAATAAACAAATGGGACTACATCAAACTTAAAAGCTTCCGCACAGTAAAGGAAGCCATTGCCACACCAAGAAGGCAACCTATGGAACAGGAGAAAATACTTGGAAATATTCTGTTCAGTAAGGGTTTAATATCTAAAATGTAATGAATTCCTATAACTCATAGCAAAAAAACCCCAATCTGATTAACAAATGGGCAGAGAAACTGAATAGACAGACGTTTTTTCCAAAGAAGACCTACAGATAGATGGTCAGCAGGCACCTGAAAATGTGCTCAGTGTCACTGATCATCAGGGATATTTAAATAACCACAGTGAGATTAGCGTGTCACACCTGTCAGAATGGCTGTTATTAAAGCACAAGAAATACCACATGTTGGCAAGGATGTGGAGAAAACGGAACCCTTGTCTGCTGTTGGTGGACATGTAAATTGGCGCAGCCATTGTGGAAAACAAGATGGAGGTTCCTCAACACATTGAAAATAGAAGTACCACATGATCCAGTAATTCCACTTCTGGGTATTTATTCAAAGAAAATGAAAGCACAGATTTGAAAAATTGTGCTCTCATATTCATTGCAGCATTCTTTATGGGAGCCAAGATATGGACACACCCTCAGTGTCCATGAATGGCTGAATGGGTAAAGAAGGAGTGAGATATGCACAGACACATGGACATGTGTGTGCACACGCTGCACTACTGCTTAGCCATGAGAAAGAAGGAAATCTTTTGTGACAAATGAGTGGAACTTGAGAGTATTATGCTAAGTGTAGTAAGTCAGATACACGCCATATGCTTTCAGTTACAGTGCCATCTAAAAAACCAACAAACGGCAGAAACGCATAGATACAGAGAACTGATTGGTGGTTGCGGGGTGGCGGGGGCTAGGGAGGAGAGCTGGGGGTTGGTAAAATAGGTGATCAAGAGGTCCAGACTGCCAGGATAAGATAAAGACTCGCGGGAAGGTAATGTGTGGCGTGTGACTAGTTAATAAGACTGTATTGCACATTTGAAAGCTGCTGAGAGTAGATCTTAAAAGTTTTCTTTATCAGAAAAAAACTTTGATGGCTACATATGGTGACAGATGTTAACTAGAGTTTTGTGGTGATCATTTCATGATCTATACAGACATGAAACCATTATGTTTCACACCTGCAACTAATATGTTATACTTGAAGTAAAAAATGAAAATATGTAAGATTCACGACTTAATAGCTAATGTTTACTGTCATCAGCAATATAATTGGACATTTCTGAAATTTTTGAGTACATGGCACTGAAGAATCTCACGACGCTGAGTGTACTTTGGTGCTTCTACCTAGATGTGTCCCTGGGCACTAACGTGTTTTTATTCACCATAGCTCTTATACCGTCCTTGCAAACATCACTACAGTCCGGGGGCAGTTGAGGTCTTCTCACAACAGTGAGAGTAGTTCATGATTCCCTTGCAGTGGTTTCAGGGATCCCCACAGGCCTCTGGACCACACTTTGAGAACGACTGACCCACACCTATATCCAGAATAAGAAGTCCGTTGACTTTGGATTGGTGGGAGAAGAAAGAAGGTGGTACAGGCAGCGAGATGATCAGTCCAGACCATTAGGCTATGCACTTTCTCACTGATTTTGAAAGAGAGTAAAAGGGAAGGAGGAGGAGATGCTGATTTTTCACAGAAGAGAGTGGGCACCTGGGGGTTTATCCCACCCCTTCAGCTGAAATCTCCCTTGTTAAAACTGGAATTACGTCTGCCTTTGCCTTAATGATAACATATTCCACAGAATATGCAAATAGTGTAAATCTTAGCTGAAGGAAAACTGCTGGCTTACTGAGAGCACCCAGGCAGCACTCTTCGAAACCCCTTATCCATTCTGCTGTATTTGGATATTTTGTAGAAACTGGGATATAGAGGAGGGGATAAAAGCTACTAGGGTGTTCATTCTAGAGGAAGGGAACATGGCTTCCAGTTCAAAGGTTTTCCCCATGGTCTGCTTCAGACCTGACTTTTTGTTGTGATTATCCTTCCCCCCCCCCATAAAGATTTAGATATTAATGGCATAGTCAGTCTTTAATAATGAATGCCCGCTTACTTGCCTTGAGCTAAGGTATCTGTTTACCTTCACCTAATGTAGTATGTGTTCTTAAGCACATTCCTAAATAGAATCATACATGAAATGCATTAAGAGAATTTGTTCTTTACTGTTTTTTTGTTGTTTTTTTAAACCATTGTCCATTAACAATTAGGGAAAATGTAACAGTTTACCTTTGTTGCTTAAAGCAAGATACTATTTAGTCTGGCTTCCTAGATGATTTTCATCTCTAAGCCTCTTTTCAGCCTTCACCTTTGTCCTCATTCCTGTCTTTCATCATCTGCAAGACACCTAACCTTTCCTGTTTGACTGTTCTATTGGACCCATTGTCTAAAACTAAACTCTCTCTTCATAAGCAATGTGGTTTTTTGTAGTGAAAGGGCCTTTCATACCCATCACCAGCCTGCTTCTCATACCTATGTTAATCACCTCTGGTTACAAAACTCCTTTTCTTAGATTGACTTTCAACTTTTTCCAGTCTCCTTTCACTTGACCCATTTCATCTCACCTCCCTGGCTTCCTCTACTCTCTCTTTCATGTATTGTTCAGGCCCCTGTCTACAACATCTGCTGAACTTGTTCATTCTTGTGTATTACTGTTTCCAAACTGGGCTCCTACTTTTACCCTGGAGACAACGTGGTGAGGTGGAAAAGAACTTGGACTGGTGTCAGACACATCTTAACCATGTACTACGTGGAAAAGAACTTTGACTGGTGTCAGACACATCTTAACCACGTACTACGTAACCACATACCACACACGATCTCAGGGAACTTAATTTCTTATCCTTAGTTTCTTTACCTTGAATAGCAAAGTAGTATTAGTTTTTAGGGTTGTATTACCTTTTTGCTATATATTTTTAATCTGTTAATCAGATCTCCTCAGTTAAGCTACTTTAGGTAAGGGACTGTGTGTAAACAACATTCATAACGATGGTTAGTAACTAATATTCATCAGTGAAGGGCCAGGCACTGTACTAAGTATGTTACATATTTTACCTTTATAAAATTTTCATCATAGCTCTGTAGGGGAAGTACTATTACTTTTTCCACTTTATAGATAAACTAAAGTTCAGAAGAGTAATTTGTTTGGGGCGTCTGGGTGGTTCAGTTGGTTAAGCAGCTACCTTTGGCTCAGGTCATATAGTTCCAGGATCCTGGGATTGAGCCCTGCATAAGGCTCCCTGCTTGGCCAAGAGCCTGCTTTTCCCTCTCCCTCTGCCTGCCACTCTGCCTGCTTGTGCTCTCTGTCTCTCTCTCTGTCATATAAAATTAAAGAGTGACTTGTCTAGTTATACTGGTCATCAGTGGCAAAGAGGAGATCAAATCCATCTTCCTGACACCAGATCCTATACCATTACCACCATCATTACTTCAGCTGTGCTCAACAAATACTTTTAAATCCTGAATAGTTACATAACAAGATTGTTTAATCTGGAAGCTAGTAGTGTTTATGTCTGAATAGCATGGCTTCAAAAGCCCATCAAACAGCAGGAGACGTAAGCATTTGGGCTCAAACCTGTGTTAACTCTGATTTCTCGATCATTATGTGTTTCATACAGTTTAAAGCTGATGGAACAGGATGTTTGCAACCTTGAGGAGGAAGAGCGAAAAGCAAGTACCAAAATCAGAGAAATAAATGTTCAAAAAGCAAAACTTGTTACTGAATTAACAAACTTTGTAAAGGTAAGGCATTTTCTTAATTTTAGTCACTTTTTTATAGCAGGTAGATAAGTTAGATTTAAAAAAGCTCTTGGTAAGATTTTACTATAATTTTTAACTTCGACATTTTTCATTTTAGGTCAGTAAATGGGTTAAAAGCACTCATTAAGCTAAGTTATGTTCCAGATGATTCATTTAAACATACAGAAAAACATAGAAAAATTCTCTTGTAAGAAATAATTGTAAAAAGAACAACTTGAGCTATCAGTTGCATTAGAAAAATGTTCTCTTTGTCATGGTTTATACATTTTTTTAAAACTTTTCTTTTCTTAGTTGTCAAACAAATTAAACTTTTAGGGATTTTTGTTCCTAGATTTGTACTTCTTTGCATATGCAAAAAGTTGATTTAATTCTTCAAAATACTACAGTGATCTCTGAGAAGAACAAACTAGAATCTGATTACATGGCTGCTTCTTCACAACTCCGTCTCACAGAGGTACAGTTTTGCTTTTATTTTTTTATGGGGTTCCTGTGTCATCACTTGGGATATGCATTTCATTACATGCTCTTTAGTTTACGAATTTAATGCATTTTGCGGATGAGGAAGCATTATTTGAAACACTGTACTATGCATTTTATGTTATTTGACTGGGGGAGGTACGGTGTAGGGTATCGTACGGAGTCACTAGATACGCAGAGTCTCCTGTGTGTTCTCTTAACCCGTATAAATTATAGTCCCCCTGTCAGCAGGTAGCAGCTGGTAGCCTTTACTACAGTTTGTATAGCCCGTAAAATATGGTACCAATGAGTTACAGTCACCACCCAGAGTGGCTTTAGCGTATGGTTTTGGTGATTTAATTTTCTGGTAATATCTATGCATGAAATGATAAATACGAAGATAACATGCAGGAGGTGAAATGTGATGCACTGAAGTTAACAAAAATGCCAACAAAGAGCTGACGGCAGAGTGAGAGTGGCAGTGGCCTAGTTTTGAGTCTTCCAAATCCTTTCCCAAAAACAGAAGAGCAACTAGGGTAAGAGCCACAAACCCATGAACAACATGGACAACAAAAGTGAGTTCCAAAGTACCCCTCTTGGTGTACTGCAGTTTCCTCTCCCCGTAACCACCCAGCGTTGGTCCCCACAAGCCTGCCCTGCAGGCTCCAGCAGTAAGTCAAGGTAATCCCCTGACTTAACGCCTAGCCCTCTGATCACATGATTTGTCTTGCTGGCATTGTCTATCCCTTTCTTGAGTCATCTCCTAAGCTTGAACATAGCTATGATCCAAGGAGTGGGCTCCCGAGTAACCCATCAATCAGAAAATTCCTAGGATTTTAGAGTCTCTTCCTGAACACCAGGGGCAAAGGCCTAATTCTTTGTTACACAACATGTGTGAACGCCAGAATATCAGTGGGTAAGAATAAGGGACGTGGTAAATAGGGGGAGAGTTCAGGGAACCGAAAAATGAGGTCACCAACAGGTTCTCCTCTCTAAACGAAGGAGGCCCCATGAGCTGTGGAAAGCTCTGCAGATCAGTTTGAGAGCAGCTGAAACTGGGAGGTGACTGTAGGCCCTAGAAAGGTCAGATGGTGCAGTGGCGGTCCAGGCCCTGGGAACCCTCCAACCAAAGTAAACTACTTTGCAGAAGCACGCTGCTTACTGAGAGCCAGAACCATGAAGGAGACAGTAAAATTGGTCTTACATGGCTTTAAGGCTGAAAGCATAGCTGATACAGAGCACTGGAAACGGGGGAAGAGAGACAATTGAAGTAAAACAGAATATAGTCCCTGATTGTCCCATAGGTATCATCAGGAAATAAGATGATACTACTTCAAAGTGGGTGCTTTGGGAGACAGAAAGGAAGAATTTCAGTACTGTTTGTAGTGGGAACCAACAGACAATATTGTAAAAAAGATATAAAGGATGAAGGACATTATATAAGGTATTTGTGCAAACTTTCCAAAAGATATACAAAGAAAATGAGAGAGAGATAAAACACATCATATCACTAGAGATTAGATATCTTATTTATATCCGTATATGCCCCAAAAGTAAGCATGACATGAAATGACCGAACTAAGGCCAAACATGAGTCTGCTCACGAAGTGTGAAAGGATATAGCTCGTCTTCTAAAAAAGACCATTTCCAAGTTCCAATATGGTGCAGAATGTGAGAGCTACATCTTTAAGAAAGAGACTGAGAAAAGTTTAAACAAGAGGATGTAGAGCCCAACGGATTTTTTTTTAATCACAGAAGCCCCATATATCGAAAGGATCTATATTTATGAAATCACAGTGATACTTTTAAAAAATAGTAGTATTGGTCCCCTTTGGAGGATATTGGAGAAGCAGCTCATTATTTTGAAAAATGGCAAGGAAAGAATCTAGCATTTATCCAGAATTTCCTGGGTGACGTATTACTTAGGATAAGTAAGAGAAGATCCTCTTTATAGAAGCATTTCAGATAATGCCGAGGGAATTGCAGTAATAGACTGACAGCACTTTGCAGCTGCCAGTGAATCAGGGGATATTAGCTGCTACAATCACACACACACACGCGCACGTGCACACACACACACAAAACAAAAACAAACAAAAAACAGATCTTTTTGTGCATACCCTCAGACATAACATGAAATTATTTCACTCTGATTAAGAGGTTCTGGCCCAGGATGTGTCAGCACTGCCAACATTGTCCACTGGAGAAGTCTTAGTGTGGGGGCTGTGCTGTGCATTGGAGAATGTGTAAACACATCTCTTTGGCCTTTACTTGCTAGATGCCAGCAGTCTGTCCCTCCCCACTCCAGCTGTGACGAGATTGCCAAATGTATCCTGGGGGACAAGTGGTTCTCCCATTTCAGAACCACTGCTCTAAAACTACCAGTTTCAAGTCTTTAGAATACTCTAGTTTATAATTAGATCTCAATTTGGATGATAAATTGTCATCAGAAATATTTGAATCTATTTTGATTTTGTAAAACCTACTGTTGAAAAAGTAAATTCATGCACCCAAGTTCTAACTAAACATTTTCTGATAGCTGGAGTATTGGTTTTTATTTTTAAATTAAATTAAACTAAAAATGTAGTTTTTCAGTGATACTAGCTACGTTTTAAGTGCTTAATGGCCATGTATGATTTGGGCCTGCTGTATTGGATAGTGCAATATCTAAGAAAAGGAAAAGGGGGAGAGAGAACCTAATTAAGTGAAAAAGATCTTAAAAAATATATTAACCAAATAAAATGAATGGACATAATTTAGATCCCAATTTGAACAAAACAATTGTAAAAAAAAAAAAATTTTTTTTTACCTAAGACATGGAAGTTTGAACACTGACTCAATAATATTAAAATTCATTGACATTTTTAGGTTTGATAATGTGGTTATGGATTTTTTTAAAGTCAAAAATACATTGTTTTAGTATTTATGAAGAAAATACAATGTCTGGAATGTCTTCAAAATCCTCCAGGGAAGAAGGGAATCTAGATGGAGTATATATGCCACTCTCTTGGTCTTGAGTTTAGAATTGTTGAAGCTGGATGATAGGTTCCTGAAGGTTTACTAGACTGCTCTCTCTGCTTTCATGTATGTCTGAAATTTTCCATAATCAAAAATTTAAAAATGCCAGGAAGAACAGGACAGTGATTTTTGAGGGAAGGGAAGACAGGGCAAGATGATACCTTTGATGGCCTTAGTTTACTGCCCGGAGAGTTTCCAGGCCACAGGGTTGGAAGAAGAAGCCAGTAGGAAACAGCACAGCACTACAAGCTCACAAATGCTGACAGGGTATTAGGAGAATGGTGAACGACTTTCAGGCAGTAAATTTGACAATTTAGAAGAAATGGGCAAACTCTTTACAGGTCCCCAAAGTCCCTGAAGGAAGAGCCAATTAGAATAGCCCTGTATTTACTGAAGAAATTAAATTTGCACTTAGAAACCTTCCCACAAGGAAAACGCCAGCCTTGAGGCTTCATTGGTGAATTCCAGGGAGAAGGAAGACTAACAGTTCTACCCAAGAGTCTTAAAAGGTAAAGGGGGGTGGGGGTACTTCATGACAGATTCTATGAGGCTAGCATTCTCCAATATCAAAATCAGACTAAACTATAGACCAGTGTCTCTCATGAACCATAGCTGCAAAAATTGATTTAAAAAGTTAGCAAATGAGGGACACCTAGGTGGCTCAGTTGGCTAAGCATCTGCCTTCAGCTCAGGTCATGATCCCAGGGTCCTGGGATTGAGTCCCACATCGATTTAAAGATTTAAAAATAAAATCTCTGGGGAAGAAGAGTTAGTAATCCAACAGTATATAAACAGTAAAATCCAACTAACCAAGTGAGTTTATCTCAGAAGTACAAGGTTGATCTAACATTTGAAGATTCATCAGTGTAATCCAGCATGTGAACAACTACAGAAGAACCAGATGATTGTCTTACTATATACAGAGAAAATATTTGCCAAAGTCTAGCATCCTTTTATGATAAAAGCTTTGTGTTTCTAGGAATAGAAGGAAATTATCCAAAACCACTAGCTCATAGCGTACTCATTGATGAAGGAATGAAGCTTTCCCCTAATGACTGGAAACAAGGAAGATCCTCACTACTCAGTTCTCTTCCACATTGCACCGGAGATCTAGCCAGTGCACTAAGGAAAAAAAAAAAAGAAAACCCAAAAATGAAAAACTTGTCTATTTCAGACAGACTTATGTCTGTGGAAAATCTTAAGGAATCAGTGCTATCAGTGCATTTAGCAAGGTTGTAGGATACAAGTCAGTATAGAAGTTCAGAATCCGATGTGGCTCCATCTCCTAATAATAAACAATTGGAAATCAAAGTTGAAGAGGACTCTGTGGGGCACCTGGCTGGCTCAGTTGGTTAAGCATGACTCTTGATCTCAGCTCAGTCTTAGCTTGGGTTTTGTTTTTTTTGTTTTTTTTTTGTTAAGATTTTACTTATTTATTTGATAGAGAGAGAGAGAACGTGTGCACAAGGAGAGGGAGAATGCAGGCTTCCTGCTGAGCAGGCAGCCCGATGTGGGGCTGGATCCCAGGACCCCAGAAATCATGAGCTGAGCCGAAGGCAGACACTTAACGGACTCTTAAGCTGCCCTTAACTTTGGGTCTTGAATGCAAGCCCTGTGTTGGCTGCTCACTCAGTGTGGAACCTACTCAAAGAAAAAAAAAAAACTACTGTGTGCATTATCATCAAAAATATGAAATGCTTAGGGATATATTTATAAGACCTGTATGCTGAAAACTACAAAATCTTGCTGAAATTAAAATAAGACTTACATAAATGGAGAGATTGTGTTCATGGATCAAAGGTCCAGGATTTGTTTAAATGTCAGAACTCTCCTATAGATTCAATAAAATTCCCAGCAGGGCTTTTAGAAATTGACAAGCTTATTCGAAAATGGAGTAGACTTAGAAGAACTTTGAAAAAGACCAAGTTCGATGACTCACCTTCCTAATTTTAAGGCTTATTATAAAGCTGCAATAATGAA